TTGTTGTATGCTTCAGAGACAACCTTGGCCACATTGGATTGGAATGGCTGTTTATCAATCAACATGCAGTAATCCTTGATGTCCCAGATCTAGACACAACATGTGGGTTAGTGGCCTCACACCCCTTGACCCAGAACCCAACTCACTCTGTGGGCTCCTCCCAGAACATTCCTCTTCATTTGGTGGGGGTGGGGGGTAGTTCTTACATCTCTGAGATACCTCACCACTAGGGCCAGAAAGGGCCTTAGGGATCTTCTAGGCCAGACTCATGGATTAGCAGGCAGGAAGGGTGTGACCAGCTCAAGGACAGCACACCCCTGCCTCATGTCTTGCCACAAGGCACAAAATCAGCTCCTGAGACAGCTGATCCTAGATTAGCCACACGACTGGGGGATGAGGGAGTTGGAGAAGACAGTGATGGAGCATGGAATTCTCCGGGGAAGGCTTCTTGGAGGGGCTTTTTGAACCAAGTCCCTGTCACTGAGCTTAGTAGAGCAGGAGAGGACTCCTAAGGTAACCCACCCTCCTCCCTGCATTGTTTTACAAATGGAACCAGTACCCAGAGGGAGTAGGAACTAGGCAAGGGCCATGCGCAGCGAAGAGGTGGTTGGACACTTGGCTGGCACCAGCTCCTCAATCTTCCTGCCAGTTCTTCCTCACCTTGATGTATCCTTTACAATCCCCCGTGATGAGGATCCAGTCATTTTTATCAGTGGCCATGGCACCCACAACAACATTTTCATTGTCTAGGTCCACAGGGAACTTCCCCAGCAGGCCTCCGCTCCCGTGGAGGGACCAGGCGTAGATGTAGCCGTCCATGCAGCTGCTCAGCAGGGCAGCCGTGTATGGCAGGCGAGGCCTGGTCTGCAGGAAGATTATCTGAGGAAGACAGGAGGGCCCAGCTCAGCAGGGCTGTGAGCAAGTGGCACATGGTGCTGAGGGACCCCAGCGAGTCACCACACCCACCTGGTCCCCCAATTTCCTAGATGCCCAGTGAAAGTGGTGATGGTGGTCCCACCCTTCCTACCTGGCTGGTGACAAGGAACATCATACTGGACTATGAACTACTAGAGGACAGGGATTTTGTGTCTTTTTTGTTCACTACTTTGTCCTTAGTAACCACAATGGTGCCTGACACATAATACATGATCAATAAATGTTTATCAAATGAAGGCTTACAAGTTTGATTCGACATAGGCTCAGACAAGATTTTCACAACCTGTAACTCAATTCAAAGTGATTTGGGGAAGGAACTCATTCCCCTTCATGTACATCTATAGTGAAATACCCATATTTTCCAGCCAATCATCAAGAAAGCATTTTAAACAAATTCTTGTTCAAGACTTGTTTTGATCATATGCCTTTTGCTAATTCCCCACTCTGCTCACTTTTCCCTTACATGTCACTCCTGTGGCTCATGTGGGGGCCACAGTGGGAAGTTACTCTGCATGGCAACCATGAGAAGAAAGTTTCTTGCCTGGCACCCAGTAGGAGGCTGAGAGCATAGCCAGGGTGGTAGAGCGAATCAGGCCAGAAAGGGGAAATTGGAAGCTTCCTCACTCCTGCTAACTCAGAACTTTACAGTGTAATAGCTTAT